CAGGGTGGGGGGTGCATGCAGCAGAGCTCACCCAGGCAGTGCAGTCCACCGATGCGCTGCATGGGGCCGAGTCCCACGGGGAGCAGCCTACACAGTGCACCTGCCTGCTGGCCCAGCTCCAGCCCTAGCCCTGGCCCTGGCTCTGACCCCAGCCCTGGCCAGCACATAGTTTCCAGTGGGGCTATTCCTGGTGCAACTGCAGCTGGCTGGGTGCTGCTCTGCTCCCCTAGCCTCCAGCAGGAGCTGTTCACCTCAAGCTTCCCCCCTGCCCTTATAAAGCAGTGCAGCAGGGGCAGGAAGAGGGGGAGGAGCTGCTGCTGGAGGGAAGGGGAGCAGAACAGCACCTGGATGGATGCAGCTGTACTGGGAACAGCTTCACTAGAAGCTGTGTACACTAGCCAGGGCCCAGGCCGGTGGGGCTGTTCAGCTCCCCTCTCTTCTAGTGATGGCTTCTGCTTCTGCTGCACAGCTCTGAGCAGGAGTGGGGGGGTGCTTAAGCCAGGTGGCTCCTACCTTGGCACATGGGGCTCCAGCTCCCAGCTGCCACCCACACACTCTGCCTGCCCAGCATGATGAGTAGCCACCTGCAGGCAGGTGTAGTAGGTAGAAGGCCATCAGGCAGTAGCCTGCCACATCTGGATTTTAATGTTAGTAGGGGAGGCTGCACAGAGAACCAGGCACACTTTTGAGGAGGCAGGCTCCAAGTAGAAAGGAAAATAAAATAAAGTGTTTGGGGTACTTTACTTCCTGTGCAGGTCCCCAGCTTCTCTTCACTTGGGGCTGCCTCCTGAGTCCTCTCACCACAGTCTGGGCTCCAGTCCTCACGCTTCCCAGCAAAGCTCCCTTCTCTGGCTTCTTCCACAGCCAGACTGCCTCCCTGCCTTGAAGCTTGAGTCTTGGGCTTATACAGGGTTCCCTGAGTCACATGAGCCCTCTACCTCCACCTCCTGGGTCATCAGGCTCTGCCTGCACCTGGACCCAGTGGCCATTTTACTTTGGGCTTCCCTGCCTATGAGTTTGCCTCTGGTGTCACTACCAGGATACAGGCAGAAGAGACACAGAGATGGGGGGAGGATCAGAACCATATAACCAGGAAAATAGGGGGAAGGGATCTCTACTAGGGCCAGAATGCATCAGCAAGCACACAAGGTAAGAGAGGAAAAGGTGGAGGGAGTGGGGGGGTGAAGGAGGGTAAAAGGTTCAGGTACCCCTAGATCTTCTTCCCCATTCTAGTAATGGATAGGGGTCCCATTACAGTCATCTTGGATCCAGATGTGGAAACTTTAGGCTTCATATTTGGGTAGACCTTTAACTCTGTTTGGAAATCATAGAAAATTAGGGTTGGAAGGGACCTAAGGGGGTCATCTAGTCCAATCCCCTGCTCAAAGCGAGACCATCCTCAACTAGATCTTTCCAGCCAGGGCTTTGTAAAAAAAAAAAAAACAAAAAAACCCCCAAAAAACAAAAAAAAACCTTAAAAACCTCCAGAGATGGAGCTTCTACCACCTCTCTAGGTAACCTGTTCTAGTGCTTCACTACCCTCCTAGTGAGAGTTTTTCCTAATATCCAACCTGAACCTCCCTTGTTGCAACTTCAGACCATTGCTCCTTGTTCTGTCACCTATCACCAGCAAGAACAATCTAGCTCCATCCTCTCCGGAAACACCCTTCAGGTAGTTTGTAACAGGGAGCTGCATCTCGGCCCCTGTTCTGAGCGGGATTCCAGTCACGACCTGGGCTCACTGCTTCTCTTACTCAGGAGCTGCACTAAAACCCCACTGCCACTGCTGACAAAATTCACCAGGGCATAGCTGGGAACCTGCCCCTTCTCCAGGAACAAGCAGGCTCTTGAGTGCAGCTGAACTTCTACCTGACCCCGTTTGAGGCTACACTGGGTCTCTGCCACCATCAGCTGATGTGTCTGGAGGCAAACCCAGAAGTGCTGCACAGTCCCAGCATCCAGTGAGCCCCAGCTGTGGTCACCTATGTGGCCAGGGAGCCAGAGGTGATTAGCCCTTTGAAGGCCTGGGCATACTCAAATATGGTTTGGCTGCAGCCCATCTCCTCCAGAGAAGGGAATGAGTGCACTGACTCTGGAGAAGAGAGCAGTGCCAGTCTGTTTGGAGGCACAGAGGGAATGAGCAGTAGCAGTGTGAACCTGGGTCTGAGCGGAGATGAACTCCAGGACCAAGGCTAGTTGGTGAAGGCTATCCAGCAGAAGAGGCCTGATCATGAAACCCGTTTGTGTCAGACACAGGGCCTGAGGGGTAAGACTCCAAGTGTGGGGAAGTGGCCACAAAGTTCTCTTGAAGAGACCCACAAAGTGAAACATCCAGCTGGGAAGGGTATTATTGGTCAGCAGGATACTTCCTGGCAAGCTGCAGACATGATACAGGGGAGGGCATTATAGAAAATATTAAGGAAAAGGGCAATAAGTCCCAAAGGGGAATTGAATTGACTAAGAAAAAGCCCCAAAATGGGGAAGCTTAGAGGCTAAGCAAGGGGTGCAGGACTTTGGTAATAAGTAGCTTGGGATAGGGATTCCTTTATTGGATCTGATAGAGGAACTACATTTAAGACAAAAAGATGGGAGTTGAGAGTGGTGATACCCTGAAGAATTCGGGATGGGGAAGGACCTGAAGCAGGATTGCATGACTGGTAGAACCATGAATCAAGTGGTGGATAGAGCGAGAAGACCATATGTTCCTGCGACAGGTGTGGTAAAGGGCAGGGTGTAGAGAAGGCAGAGCCCGGTGAAGAGGACAATATCCCCTTTTGCTGAGTGACCGCTGTTTCTTTTGTGTTTCCTCATTTAGCTTCCCTTTAATTTGTTTCCATCAAGGCATGGAAGGAGAGCATATGGAAGCGGGCAGCAGCTTGAGGAAGGAGGTCACACATCACACCTGCTGACATAGTTAAAGGCTGCTATCAAATCCCCTCTCAGTCTTCTCTTCTGAAGACTAAATAAACGCAGTTCCTTCAACCTCTCCTCATAAGTCATGTGCCCCAGCACCTGAAATGTACAACTGTCTTCTCTACAGAGTTTATATGGCATGCTGGGACTTCACTTGAGGGAATGCTGGCCATTTTAGCTCCATTCATATAAGGTCAGAGGCTCAGTAACGTAAGTAGGGGTGGGTGACTGCAGCATGAGCCCCAAGCATTCAGCAAAGAGGACACTAGAATGGAGGAAGGGAGGCTACAGCATGGAACAAGGTGGGGTCAGGAGTCCCCGCATCAGCCCCTTCCCTCCCAGTTGTAGACAGTGCTGCTGTGAGGAGAGTGGTCTGGTGTTGCTTCTAAGAAATGAGTTAAACCTTCCTTGGCACTGTAGCCACAGTCTAATTAAAGGCTTTGGACCCTTGGGCACTACATAAAACCATGGTAATTGTGTGGGCTGGGGTAGGGGTTAGAATGGCTGTTGGCAGTGACACCTCTTCCAACAGCAGCACTCGGGTCCTGTTCCACTCAGCTCCATGCAGCTGGAGTCTCAAGCATCTCTGCCTCCATTCTGGCACCCCAGGGTGCAAACTCTACTGTTGCCTCCCGAGTCTGGGGGGGCACCAGTGGGGCATGACCGGGGTTGGTCTCCCAGTGGCCAGTTGGCAACTGGGGGGGTCCCCCCCAGCGGCCGGTTGCCGAGCGCACCAGCAGCACAGTGGTGGCGGAAGTGCCAGCACCTCCGCATGTGGCATGGTGGCAGTGGAAGTGCTGGCACTTCCGCCACCAGCACTTCTGCTGCTGACATGCTGCCAGCGGAGCCAATTTTAGCGGGGTCACAAGCGCTCTCTGTGCCCCCCTACCATTCGGAGTGCTTGCTGTCAGGAGGGGCACCAGCACTCTCAGGCGGGGCACATGCCCACCTACGCGTTGCCTATGCTACCAGGTATGAGTCTGCTTCCCAGGAGGCAAACTCTACCCATAATACCTCTGCAGGAGATCATACTGCTTCACAGAGCAACATAATTTTGACATCCGCTTCTCCACTTGGAGGAATAGGATAACAAGTATTATCTGTAAACGTCTCAAATTGTGAAACGGACTGAATTGGGTATGAAAGCTATTCTTCCTATTTTTTTAATGAAACGTGGCTCTGATCCTTGGTGCCATGATTCTGCTTTGTGCTAGCACAGTCTCTTCTAGCAGAGATGTCTGCCATACACCACCTCTAGACGCACTGTATATTGTCACAGGAACTGCACCATGGGACGTTTATTCTATTCTTTCTTACATTCCATTCAATACTATTGACTTATCAGCATGACAGACACCTTGCCAGCTCCCTGCACTACTTCAGTGTCCTTGACCTAGACATTTCATCTGTAGATTTTCAAAGCTCCTCTTCTTATGGTCCCTATTCTAGCATTAAACAAACCAGACAAATGCCTAAATGGGTTAACAACCCCAATTCCCACTCTGTATTGCAATTGCTGCCTATAAAAGTTCCCATTGCTTACACCACATGAGACCACACAGCTCAAAGTTGTACAACTAGTAGGAGTCACTGACTCTGGAGACCAACTTTTGATCCAACACTTGCTAAAAAAATATTGCTTTTCAGCTGTAGACAGATCTGTACGACAAAACCTTTATTTAAGAAAAACAGCAAAGACGCAGCTTGAACACAAACAACAATACACCGAGGCACAATGCTTCTTTATGGATACCACAAAATAATCCTTCCAACAAAAAGTATCACACACTTTTGCATGCATATTTTTGTCCAAACAATATAACCTTGAAGTTGATTCCCTTTCTTTTAAAAAAGTGTTATAACAAGAAGAGATGGCTGGGATACTTTATGAAAATAAGCCACAGCAATTATTTTCAAGAACTTCCCCAGAGAAGTTTTATAGGCAACACCTTGTCTTTATTTTGTCGTCCCCCTTAAATGATTTAACCTGATGAAGTTAGCATTGAGGAGAGGAGCAATATCTAATTGTTAGCGCAGCTGAGCAGATCCTTTTCAATGGGAGAGGCATCTGAACTATTATGGCCTCAGCTACCTCAGGTGTGGTACATAGCTGTCCTGACTCAGGAGTGGACCAGGGAACTAGTTGTGACTCAGTCCCAATTTCTCCCATGCTCCATTCTTTTTGACAGAGAAATCAATTACTGCACCATTACTTCACGTCTCCCTGGTGGAACAGCTTGCACCTGACCAGCTCCTCTAGCTGGCAAAGACAGAAACCAGAGACCCAGGGATCCATTAATTCTTTCCTTGTAAGGGGTGGTATTGAGCAAGCAGACTGTTTTGTCCCCTGGTTGGCTGACACACACTCTGAACTATAAAATCTATTCAAAATTTCACAGCAGCTAGTGTTTTTAAGACGTATAACCAGAGCATCTTTGATTTTTTTTCAGTTTCCATAACAAACTGAGGCAATGTAAGTTTGGGTATAATTCTAAAATTGAGAAGTTTATGCAGCCCTACTAGCTGTAGTAGGCAAGATCCAACCTCTGTTAAAAGTGGATCCTGAATGAACTCACAACTTATCTATCACTTTAGAGTGAAATCATACCTCTTCATATTTATCATTCCCAGATGTTGCTGTTCCTCTTTGGGGCTTACTCCACGGCATGCACAGTTCCTCTCAGCCATAACCATATTCTATTAATCTTGTTTTATTCTTTTCAGTGCATAATACCACAAAAAGAGTCCATCCACCTGATTTTTGTTCTTAACCTATCATATAGTCCCAGATGATTTCTGACTGCCTCCTTTCCTGCTATCACATTGTTTACACTGCTTCACATTTCATATATGAGGAAAATGTGGGTGGGGTATTGGCCCAAAAAAATCTCTATTCTCAGATTAGCACAAATTTCAAAATGATAAATACTGACTACTGGGGTTACCAATATACCACTTTCTGTATAACTGTGCTTACAAGGAGGAGAAATTGCACTAGCAGTTATACTAAAAGGATTGCATTGTGACAGTAATGTTTAGTTAAAAAATTGTGGAATGCCTCTATATACTAGCATACATAATTAATTTCTTTATATAGGATGTAGGTATGCAAAATTAGGAGCATGGCAAAATGCAAGTTTCTGGACAATCACTTAATATGACCATCTGTATTAAGGATTCCCATCCAGTAACACGTGAAACTTGCATTCACAAAACAGAAATGCAAACAGGTAAGGAATACATCACTCTACCTAGCTATTCCTCAAAGCCCTAGCAAATAGATATTCTTTGCCACATGTCCTAGAGATCACCAGATCCAGCCTGAGTATTTCTGCAGCTGTTGCAGCTTGGTTTAAAGACTGAGAGACTCAGAAAGATCCTCATTTGCTCAGATATACAGATAGGTACCTATGGTAATCATAGAAAATTAGGGTTTGAAGGAAACTCATCTAATCCACTCCCCTGCTCAAAGCAGCACCAGCCCCAATTAGATCATTGCAGCCAGAGCTTTGTCTAGCTGTTTCTTAAAAACCTCCAGGGATTGAGATTCCACAGCCTCTCTGAGTAACCTGCTCCAGTGCTTTACCACCCTCCTCATGCATGTTTTTTCCTAATATCTAACTTCAACTTCTCTAGCTGCAACTTGACACCATTGCTCCTTTTTCTGTCATCTGCAACTACTGAGAGCAGTTTAGCTCCATCCTCTTTGGAACTACCCTTCAGGTAGCTGAAGGCTGCTATTAAATTCCCCTCAGTCTTCTTTTCTGCAGACTAAAGAAGCCCAATTTCCTCAGTCTCTCGTCACAAGTCATGTGCTCTAGCTCCCTAACCATTTTCATTGTACAAAACATTTGAGTTCTTTGATTTAATTTTCAGTGCTTTCCAATGGGAGCTATGCAGTAATAGTAGAATCCATTTCAAAACCAGTTAGTAGCCAGTAGAGATCCCAGATGATCAGTATCATGTGTGTCTGGTGAAATAGGATCTTTACCAGGAGGCTCTCACATTCATTGCGACAGACCTGGCATACAGAGCTATTTCATGTAAGACTGAGAGTTCAAAGATGTTTGGTTTCATTTCAATGTAACACATCAAAGTATAGAATCTTAGTGTGATGGTTACTGAGCCCTGATCAACTTTAGCGGGAGTCCTGCTGTGACACAGGTTGCCAGGCTGTTCTGGATCAAGAGATCCTGGGAATCCCAGGCAGGCTACACAGGAGTCAGGTAGCCCATGTTTGCCAGCAGCCAGTCAGGGAGGCTCTGAAACAAGTGGGTGAGCTGCAGGACACCAGGCAGGCTTCCAGTGGGAGCCCACATGGCAGACAGGTTACTGTTGGGAATCTGATGGTTTCTGATGGAATTTTGTCAAAATCAGCAAGGACCATTTTGATTTTGACACATAGACAAATTCTGATGAGAATATTGTGAATTGTTTCTTATGGACTCCAGTCACCACTTACATCTTACATCCATTCAGAAATGTAGCTCCATAAGCAATCTATTGCAGTACTATAAAACATGTCTGTAATGGGATCCCAAGTCAGACAAGGCCATGAGGGTGGAAACTGCCTGTGAGTTGAGATGCCCAACCCCAAAACAGCTAAATTTAGGGATTAAAAACCCCCCAGCCTTAATAATTAGGGGAAAACACTACAACAGCACTGGGGAAGACAACATAAAACAAAGGTTTAAACCATACTGGACATGTCTACATGTGCCCCTGATGGCACATTTGGTACTGCACATCCATTTAGTGCTTGCATAGGTTCATCACTGCTATGCAGTAGTGTTGGCATCATGGTTTGTGCCTGCCAACGCTACATCACTGTAGCTCATTGCTACGGCGACGTAGCTTCTCATGTAGATGCGCCCACTGTCTCCTAACACTTTACTCATATCTGGCCAGTGCTTACTTCTCAGTCCCTGGCTGGTGCTGGTGACAAGCAGGTATCATCACTGTCTCTACAGCAAGCTGCCCCCTCATCCCCAGAGGTTTTGGCTTCTCTTCTGGCCTTC